CTGCTTCTCCCTCTCCCACTCCCCCTGCTTATGTTCCCTCTCTCACTGTGTCTCTCTCTGTCAAATAAATAAATAAAATTAAAAAAAAAAAAGGGCACATTCTGCATGGAGCACTGGGTGTTATGCACAAACAATGAATCATGGAACACGACATCAAAAACTAATGATGTAATGTATGGTGATTAACGTAACAATAAAAAATTAAAAAAAAAAAAAGAAAGTCCACCCTCAGCGTGAGACCCCATTGCCCTGGCAGGTGGCAGGAGGCAGAGGAGACTAAGGGCTGCGTCTGTAACCACTGTCAGTAAGCCTGGAGTCCCTGGATACAGTTAAGGGGACAAACCCCCAAGAAAAAGACTAGACTTCCTGATAATCTGGCACATTGGGCTTACTGTCATTGCAGTTTGGATCTTATTTGATAATTAAAGCTGATGACCATATTTCATGGCCCAGGATTGCTTTCCAAGTGGGAACGAGGAGGAAGAGAAGAGAGTAAGCAAAGTTGCCACTGTTGCTCAGTGGTAACAGTCCGACAGAGGAGCTATGAAGAAAGACAATGCAAACTGATGAGAACCATGTGCTCCTCCTCAGCAAACAAGACCCTCCATAACTGAGAAAGATGAAATGTTAACAATCACATGCCCAGATGCTTTAAATGTGTGTTCAGGTGCGCATAAATGTGTTCACATGCACACACACACACACATACACACGTTACAGGGGCTGAGCAGCTCTGACTTTCAGAGTCAGAAAGACAAACCCAGGGGCGCCTGGGGGGCTCAGTCGGTTAAGCGTCTGCCTTCAGCTCAGGTCATGATCTCAGGGTCCTGGGATCAAGCCCCATATCGGGCTCCCTGCTCCATGGGGACCCTGCTTCTCCCTCTGCCTGCCACTCCCCCTGCTTGTGCACTCTCTCTCTCAGACAAAAAAAATTAATAAAAATTTTAAAAAAAAGAAAGATGAACCCAATATTTCAACCTCAGTAGAGGTAAGTAAGACTGTACGGCTTAGTAAAAGGAGTTACCTCAGGGACTGAGAGCACCTATCACTGATGCGCCCCTGAAATTTAAAAATGTGCAGGTATAATACACCATTCGTCCAAGATTTCCCAGAGTCACTAACATTGGGAAGTCAGCAATTCTCATGTTTTTTCACTTGAGTGAAATGTGGGTGGGGGCACGAGAGAACACATAAGTGATATATTCCTATCAGCATTATTTAAAATCCAGCGACGACTCATTTCTTTGCAATCCAAAAAGCATATAGAAAACAAGTGGCATTATTACACGGGTAACCTTGATTCTGCTCTAATTTATTTCCTGATAAATAAACTGTTCCCACATGTTACTACTTTGCTTATGATAATTTATGTACAACAAATCCCACAACTGATGTGACCACCACAGTTAAGGACAACTGCTTTAGAGAATATCTACCCTCTAACATTGTCATTGAAATCACTTACCTTCTTTGGAAGAAAGGATGGTGCCAGAATAACACACAGTTGTATTAAGGAGACAAATAAATGAATAACCAACACCAATGGATTTCTAGCTTCAGTTGCTGAAGGGTTGGTATATTTACACCTGCCACATTTTTCTTACTGCACCAAGTGTTACAAGGCACCAAAAATAAGTCCCAACCCTAACAAACATAATTTAATATTTTTTTCTGCAACCCAGACATTGATACATAACACAACTAGCAGATCAAATGAAGTTCATGGCCATCAATACATTTTCTCTATTAAAGAGCACTGAATGCCAAAAGAAGAACTGGCAAGAATTGGCAAGCAAATGAGATGTTCTTTTCAGGAGAATGCCTCTTTAGCTGTTCATTGAAGAGGACAGTGAACCTGGCCTCAACTGGAAGGAAGAGCTACAAGAAGACCGCAGGTGAAAGAGTGGACTCCACCAGAGACGCTCCAAAATGAGAACACACAGCCCAAGAAAGGCAGTCGCCCTCCCCTCTCCCACCACAGTCACGTGCAGAGAACCACAGGTTTGTGGAAGTTAACTTCTCTCTACCTGAGTGGGTTTTATTTTATGTAAAACCTCACAGTGCAGTAACCAAACCTTTAGTAGAAATAAGAAGAGCATTTGCTTTGCAGTTCTTGCCCCGGCCACTGCATCAGTCACATTACATAAAGAAATCCAAACGCCTATTCATCACTGCTTTTCCGAGTTCATCTATAATTCAATCTACACTGAGAAGCTTCACACAATGAAATGGTTTTTTACTGAGCGATTACACACATCACCTGGATGCAAAAGAGAGCACGTTTTTCATGGATGCCAAGAGTTGTCAGAGTTGTTTATGGGAGAAGAAACATCGAGGCTTCTGTGTTCTGCTAGCCATGTGGAGCATGTGAGAGCCTTCTATAATGGAAAGAAAAATGAAAGACATAAAACTAGGGTAACAGGGAGGAAAGAAAAGAGAGGGAGGCAGGCTGGTAAAAAAAAAAAAAAAAATCAACCTTAATTTCTGATGCCAGCACTGCTGTGTATTTCAAAAGTGAACTTGAAAGCCCCATTCGAGGGGAAGAAATCACTTTTATCCACCACGTCCCCTACTCAGATGGATTTTTCTTTGACATGGTGGAAAGGTGAGTGCCAGAGTCATGGCTAAGTGGGGTCCAATACAGGAAGACAATGCAAGAGGCCTCTACAGAAGACAGAAGACCAAATGATGAACAAGAACAGAGTCAGCAGCCACCTGGGAAAGCACACAGGAAGATCTGCAGCTCTGACAACTCTTACGACTAGAAACCTGCCCCCAGCCAGAGACTCTAAAGGCTGAATTCATTCCCACACATGCTTTTTCTCTGTGCACTTATCTCCATGCTCATCCTCCTTTGAAGCAAAAAACTCATTAATCCAATTCAAATTGCCAACATCAGTAAATCCTTTGCCTCAGCATTTAAATGCCAATACCAATTAAATACCAACAGCAATTTAACTACTGATAGGATCTTCACTATGTTCAGGAAATCCAGCCAGAAGTCCAGCTAGCATTAATTCCAATACTCCTTCATCAATTCTAATTTACTCAGTGCAGAGAAATGAGGTAATTTGCTGGCCATGCTGACGATGCACCCAACTGGACTGAAATAACTCTGCAGCAAATAAGAAGGAACAAATTGATTGCAATCCACCAAACCTGAAGGACGTCTTCACCAAGGCTTCTGGACTATCAAGCTGAGGCAATTCATCAGCTAGGATCTCTTCTGGTGGTCGAGGGTCATGAACAATCATTGGCCGTGGCTTTTCCTTGGCATTCCCCGTGAGCCCATCGATGAGGGAGTTCCACAGACAGTTCTGTGACTTAGACCCTGAGGTGTGAGGGGAGAAAGGTGTGCAGTCAATTACCAACCAACAACATGTCCTGCCTTGCCCAACTCGGGATTCTCAAAAGCAAAGCAGGGAAACATATATTTCTCATGATCTCCACCATCATCTGAGGGCTCCAAAAGATACTGGTCAGGCAACTTACGGAGCAACCAGGAATTTTTAAATTTATATGCAGAAAATAGGCTAACACCCTGAATATTTTGACCCACAGCTAAGTAGTAAGGATATATATCTTGTCTCATTTCAGGGGTGATCAACTCCAACTCCTGGTAGAGCTGTGGACACTTAAATATATATTTATTCAGCAATTAGAAGTATACAAAGGACTACCATTTTAGAGAAGAGTAAGGATGTTCAGACACAAGTGTCCCTTATGAAATCAGCATGTGCAAGGACCAAGTTTCAAGACTCCATTCTATGGAGACAACCACCCCAAATAGGGCCCCACCTCTAAAACCCAGAACTCGCTCTGGCAGTTTCAATCTTCTAGAAGATCAAGACCCAAGGAAAATTACACCGCGGGTTTACTGATATTCTACCCAACAAACACTTCAAACATATGAGATAAACATTAAAGGCAAACATGAAGTGGTAATAGTATCACAAAATAGGGCCTGATAAGCCAGGCAATCAAGGGCAATATTGACAGGGATAAGTTACACTGATATCATGTACCCTTGAAATGATATGATGAGAATGGCATTTCACCTCTGTGATCTTCCTTCCCAAAACACATAGCCCCAATGTATTAAGCATATTCCTAGCTTCTGTAAACCTGATCTTTAACATCTGCCCTGCATGTATATCCCAGACATGCCTTGTTCTGGACAACTCAGTAATGCATCTGAGTCACCTTGTTTTTCAAATACAAACCAACCAAACCAGAGTCTACCCCCACAATACCTCCCTTACTGAGCTTTTGCACTCTGGGCCACTATTCACTTGCCCCACTCACCCCAGGGAAGGTACCAGACAACTAGAGACAGCCCCTATGTTCCAGAGCCCACTGAGATTATTCAAACTAGCCAATCCTAAGGCTGCTTACCTTGCCTTGCCCATTACTCCCTACAGAAGCCACAATAAAGACACTTTCCCACAGTTTATCCTCCACCCCAGCTCTGCCTTATAACTGATCCCAGTGCTTCTCTGCATGGCCTCCATGGTGAGATATGTACCCCCTCTTTGGGGATCCGCAAGTATTACAAAACTATCTTTTCAGTGGCAGTCATCTCCAGATCTGTTGGCCCTACCATATGTAAATAATAAAAATCTATCCAAATACGCAGTCTAATCATGGGGAAAACATCAGACAAATCCCAAATGAAGGACATTCTGCAAACACCTGACCAGTACTCCTCAAAACTGTCGAGGTTATTAAAGAGTAATGAAAGTCTGAGAAACTATCACAGTCCAGAGGAGCCTAAGAAGACATGATGACTAAATATAATGTGGTGTCCTGATGGGATTGTGAAACTTAAAAGGACATTAGGCAAAAACTAAGGAAATCTGAATGAAGTATGTACTTTAGTTAATAATAATTCATCACTATTAGTTCATTAATTGTGACAAATGTACCATATTAATATGAGATTAGTAATAGGGGAAATTGGGAATGGGGTATCTGGGAACTCTCAATACTATCTTTGCAAATTTTCTGTAAACCTAAAGCTGTTCTAAAATAAAAAGTTATTATAAAAATACAAATAAATAAATACTATAAAAATAGCTATTATAAAAGGTCTATGAGCAAAAAAACACTTTTTTTAAGTGGAGCCTGAGAGTATTACTATTGCTTTTTATTCTTGCATAAAGGTACTCTTGGGTTGCCAAGTCTTGCACCCATGGAGCTGTGTCCATCCAGAAGGGGTTGACTTTTTCTACCCCATCCATGCAGAGGGAGGACCTTTTTCTAATTTACATAAAGGCTCTTTATGAGGTCTGAGGGGGCATGCACAGAGGGCTAAAAAGCACTCCCAGCTAATGCATATGCATGTGATAGGTGGGCAGAGAATAAATCTGTATGCATATGGGCATGCCTCCCCAAGACCCTAACCAGCTACTTGCACCCCACAACAGAAGAAATCATCTGAAGGACAGCTTTGCCACTAAGGTCAAAAGAACTTCACACACAAAGGGGAGCATCTCACAAAGATCCCTGAACCTTCACTAAGGACACACATGGGTCAGCAAACAACTCTTTCGATGACCATGACTATGACTGCTCCCCTTGGGATGCCCCACATCCAAACTGCTTTTGTATTAATCAAGAGAAATTAAAGCACACTAGTGCCAGGAAACAGATGCCTCCCACTCCTGAAATGCAGAACAGCTTTTCTAAAGTCCTAAACAGACATCTTAATAAGATCTGGTCCTATTAATGAAGGTCTGGTTCTATGTCAAAAAAGGTCTGTTCTATGTTAACTAAGGTCTGGTTCTAGGAGGAAGAACAACAGCAGTAGCCTGTTTTCTTAAATTTGATCTAAACAAAAGCCTTACAATAAACTCCCTGCCCATTTCCCTTCATTCTTTTATTTAGTCATTCAATGTAGATATATTTAATTCCCTCAATATGCCAGGTTCCATTCTGGGCCACAGAAATAGAAAGATGAACCCATAAGCAATCACAATAAGTGGGCAATGCACCATAACTAAGGGCAAATGAAGTGCTCTAGGAGACAGAGGAGGGCTCACCCACTCTGCTTCAGGGCCAGGGGGAAAGTTACACAGAGCACATCACATCTGATACCGATCTAAAGCAGAAACAGATCTTCAGCAGGTGAAAAACAGAGAAAAGAACGTTCCAGTGCAAACAGTATGTGCAAAAGCTCAGAGGTTAACAAAGTAGCTTGTAAAGGCTGGAGCAAAGTGAGAGGGAACAGTGACCAGAGAAAAGGTCAAAGGCTGGTTGGACAAGTTGTAAATTGCCTTGAATAAAATGCTAGTCATTTAGAAAGTCTTCTTTAGACAAAAAAGAACTAAGGCCATATCTGTGTTTGAGAAAGGAGACTGGCACACTACAGAGCAGTGAACTTGTGAGGAATAGCATGGTAATATGAAAGGGTCTATGAATCTGTCTCATCTGTAGATGAAATAAAGTCTTACACATATTTATGACTAATTTTTAAGTATATATAAATGTGATTAATAAATTATAAATTCATGTAAAATCACTAATGAAATGAGCAACTATATGCCAGCAAATTAGATAATCTGGAAGAAATGGATGCATTCCTAGAGATGTATCAACTACCAAAACTGAACCAGGA